TAGAATCGCATCGTGGCCTGTGAAACGTGATTCGAATCGAATCGTGACTTCTTTGGCAATACCCACCCCTACCGTACATCTGTCATATAGAGTATTTGTTCTATAGGACGGGAGCTCCGCTGCTGCTCTCAGCCTCAGTGTTCTGCATCCCAAATCAACACTGAAAGGTCTAAAATGTAGCCCCTCTAATCATGGATGCTAAGCTACGTCACCTGACTGATACAACCTGGATTGGTTCATTTTACCTCAACAGGGATGGATTTACATTTTAAGACCTAAAGCTGAAGATGAGAGCATTTTCAGCATTTATAGCATCACCTTATTGATGCTCAGCCAAAAGAAGGGCTAAAATGGAGCATAACCCATGAATAAATGTAGAGGAGGTCAAATTACAGAAGAGCCTTTCGTTTTTATAAACTTCAGATCAACTGCAGCTTTCATTTTTTATTTTCTCAAAATATTCTTCAAATTTCTTCAGATTCTATCTCTGATATTTTATATTTTTTCAGCCCATGAGGTCAATAAAGGATGCTTATTTTACCTTCCAGCAGTACAGACTTTGACTGAAGCAGACAGGAACAGGGGAGGGGGATGTTGACATATTGTATGATGGACCCCCCCCCCTCCCCAACATATTGCAACAGCTTTTATCTCTGCCCAAGAAGTGCAGCATGACATTAGTGACTAAGCGGTTGCGGATAGAGCGTTTGTGGTCGTGATCTGAAGCTGCTCAGGACTTCCCCTCCACACCATGACTCGTCTGGACTCTTATCACAGCCTTTTAACCACTTTTTCTCTGCATATATTGAACGTTTTAAGCCTTCGAACTACAACTCCATCCTATTTTGGATCAGTAATTTGCTCATCAGTTATTCTAACCAGCAGAACCATTCAGAATAAAGATAACTCATGTCTAATTGGAGTTCCTTGTTTTGCAGCCTAATGAACCGACTAACTTGATTTAGTGAAGATAAACTCTAAGTCACCTTTGCAGATCCTCTGTTTGTTATATCCTCAGAGGAGAAACCCGAAGGCTCAAGCCCGAGCCTCCTGGGTGGGGTCCAAACTGTCTGTCTGATTTTAGCCTAATATGGCATGAAGGTTTTCCACTTAAGTTCCCTTCCTGGCAGGGGATGACGGCGTTCCTAAAATGCTTCAAAATAACAGGGGAAAAAAAGCTTTATTCTGACTTCAGAGCAGGTTTTATTATATTGAGTGAAAGTCATTAATCTACTTTGCAATTGAGTAAAACTGCATGATAAGAGAAGTACAAAGTGTTCCTCCTTTGCTCCGTATCTCTGCTGTGTTTGCCTAAAACTCAGAAGTTCCTCCTTCTGAAAGGAGCTTCTCTAAAATAACAAACACCTTCCTTCAGTGTTAAGAGCATTACTGCTTTAAAATCAAAAATATTTACTTTACTAATATTTTACAGCATCTAGATTTAGTGACAATCACAGGCTAGTGAATGCGACGTGGAAGGAATACGATGCATGTTTTTTTAAATGTCTTTGAAACTAAAAACTCAAAAGGATGGAGAGCTTTGGGATTCAAACAATTAGTCAATAGTTTGTGGCATTTATATTGTGGTCTGTCTCTTGCAGCATCTTTTTTTTTTTTTTTTTTTTAGGTCTTACTGTTGTGTAATAATGTTCAGTCTAATGCAGCTGGTTTAGGAGCATGCAGTGTTAAAGTCCTGCTGCTCTGTCGTTTCTTAACATTTTGAATTTGACCTAACCTAGGTTTGGACATGTATCATTCTAACACAAATATGCACTGATCACACTACGTAGCTCTGAGTCAAGACTTAGTTTCGTTGTTGTGCTTGAAGGTAAACCTCCACCTTAGTTCTACACTGCAAAAACGATCTGAAATTAAGTAAAAATGTATTAATCAAGTATATTTACCCTTAATTTGAGCAGGAAAATAAGTATTTTTAACACTTAAAATAAGATAATTAGAAAATATGCACTTAAAATAAGACTAAGCAATAGTTTTTTCTTATTTCAAATGTAAATTGTCTTGTTCCATTAGCAAAGTGTCTCATTTATCCCTCAATTTAAGAAAAAATGCATTTATTTAAAGAAAAAATTAGTTATTTAGATTTACATTTTTTGCAGTGTATATGTTGTACTCTCTAACAAATGATATTCAGTTCTACCCAGTCGCTGTAAACTGTCTTCCTTGTCACAAAAAAAAAAAAAAAAAAAGATTAAAGGGGAGATTAAAAGCGTAACGCTATATTCGATCTTTTTCACGGTAAAAATTCAAAGCTAACTGTTTTATTTATATCCGTTAAGATTTAAGAGACCCCGACATCCTTAAATATGCCTTACATTATATCACTTTTCATATGGAATACATAACAAAAAATATTATCAACTTAAATTATGAAAAATTGTTTCTGAAAAAAATAAATAAATAAAAACTGGAGAACAAAAGTTTTCCTTCCAAAACATCAAAAAGCATCAAACTAAAGTTTAACATCATCTGTCATTTCCATGCAGCTGGATGATGCTATTTCATGTTTCCAACTGTCAAAACGTCAGTCCAGTTCCTTTTTTTGATTCATTATTATTTCATTGCTGTTGTTAAGTGTAATAAAATGAACATCCATTCATATGTTTTCTGTCACGCTAATCTCTGCTGGGGTGGCGAGGGGTGCTGGTTCACCCTCGCAGTCCATCGCAGGGCAACACAGAGACAAACAGGACAAACATGCACCCAACGCACGCATAAAGCCGCGCATACACTGCGATATTTTCAATCGTTGCACGCAGCTACAGCTCAAACTGTATGACGAAACCACGGGGTTAAAAAGTTCACAGCTCACGATGTTTGTTCTCCCACTGTGCGGCCCGACGCTCTGATGCGATCTACCTGCTCACACTACGTCTAAAAACCACGTGGGACTCCGTGCAAAGAGACGGCGATGGTCGGACTCATCAATCTGGAAGAAGAAGAACTTCCTTGTCGCACATGCGCAGTAAACAAGGTTCTTGTAAATCGGCTCGTAGCTCAGCTTCATCAGCAGGATTTGTCCATGAACACCTCACGATGGCCGACTGAATTTCAAAAATGTTTGATTTTATCCCGACTTTACGATTCCTGACCTGTAGATGGTCATGAGAGGTTAGTCGTCCCTCGTTTTCCCCTGTACACTACATGGTGCAGGTAGATCAGGCTGAAGGTCGGCACCATCTGAAAAATTCTCACACGACTGGAGAATCAGCCCGAAAAGCACAAAAAATCGTACAGTGTACGTCCGGCTTAAGGAGAATATAGAGAGGCCCGTTAACCTTACAGTCATGTTTTTAGACTGTGGGAGGAAGCCGGAGTACCCGGAGAGAACCCACGCATGCTCAGGGAGAACATGCAAACTCCAAGCAGAAAGAACCTGGACTGGGAATCGAACCCAGAACGTTCTTGCTGCAAGGCAGCAGCGCTACCCACAGCCCCTTAGAAGATAAATGTATGAATATCTTGCTAAATATTCCCCTCACTAATCAAATGTTGGTGAAATGTACGCTAACGCTAGTCAGCAGCTAAGCTAGCAGTGCACTTTTATGGCATAAAGGGGAATTCATTTATTGAGGGGTATCATAAGCTCCACATGCTCCACTTGAAAGAGTCAAAAATTTATCTTACAAGTATGCATTACTGTATGATAGATTATAGCTTAAAATCCTGAAGAACCTCATCATGCAGCACGGGGGGTTTGACATACCTGTTGAGAAGATGTCTGCAGCGATGGCCATGAAGGCGTCGGACACCACGCCCTCTATCGCCACCGAGATGTTCAGCTGGCGAGCGACATTGCGGTAGACGTTGGGGCGGAGGTACTCCAACTCATCGCCTGATGGGACAGAAAAGCTGGATTCAGTCAGTCTTCCTGGCTCTCTGCATGAAGGGTTCATAAATCTAACATCAGGTTCACACAATTATTTTTACTTCTCTAACAAAAGTTCCCTGGTAGTAGAAACAGGTAGCTGGTAATGAAACCCTGATTTTTGCTTTTGGATTTTACAAATAAGGTATGAATGTAAAAGACACAAGAATAAAAAAAAAACAAAAAACGGCTGTGTGTATTTGAGTTAATGACAGGAATGGCATTGATAAGCTAGCATTAGCAAAAGCTAAAATGGACGAGCGGCCTTTGATACATGGGCATTGTTGAGGATTAAATGTTAATGATGTAATCAGGAGTGATAAAGAGTCTACATAAGCAGCCGTCTTCATTCGTCTTCCACCTGCCTGCGGCTTTTGGGCCTTGAAAGGTGAGATACATGTCGGTTTTCAGCTGAGGTTACATCGTAGCCAACAAAACCCCTCAGAAGAAGAGTCTGTGTTTGCTGGCTGACTCAGACTATGGATCACAAGGAGCTGAACGTAGTGATTTTGTTTTTCCTGCATTTCAAACCAGATTGAAAGCAGTGTTTTGTGAAGCCGCCTGCTGAAGCAGATGAGAAATTCTCCAGTTCTGGACGACCCATGAAACAGCACGGCCAAATTCCTGTTTGCATCCGAGCCGCTAGAAGCATCCGTGCCGCTAAAAGCATCCGAGCCGTTAAAAGTATTCGAGCCGATAAAAGATTCCGAGCCGATAAAATCATCCGAGCCGATAAAAGCGTCCGAGCCGAAAAAAGCATCCGAGCCGAAAAAAGATTCCGAGCCGATAAAAGCATCCGAGCCGATAAAAGATTCAGAGCCAATAAAAGATTCCGAGCCCATAAAAGATTCCGAGCCCATAAAAGATTCTGAGCCGATAAAAGCATCCGAGCCGATAAAAGAGTCCGAGCCGCTACAAGCACTCGAGCCACTAAAAGCAGTCATACCACACTGGTTCTGACCCCCTGCTTTTTTTTTTCTGAGTTCTGGGAGAGAACATCTTATCCATTCCAACTATTACCTACCTTTATGGAGAAAAAAAAAAAACCCAACTACTTTGATCAATAATTGTTCAATATAATATTTATATATATACTAATACCTACATTACATGGATTTAGTTTTTATTTATGTTTGATTTAACTGAAGACTTCTGGATGACTTGCAGAGACATATAATTTTCATCTTTACCTTATGAAACAAATTCTGGGTTCTAATTCTGAAAATCACTTCCGTATTAATCAAATTTATTGTTAGTAAAATAATGTGAATGTGATCAATTTAAATGTTAAATAAGTTATAATATCCCCCTTGAAAAATGATAGAGGTGGCCAAAGGGGTGGCCAGTGATTGGCTAAGGGTTGCCAGTGATCGGCTGAGGGTGGCCAGTGGTTGGCTGAGGGTGGCCAGTGATTGGCTGAGGGTTGCCAGTGATTGGCTGAGGGTGGCCAGTGATTGGCTGAGGGTTGCCAGTGATTGGCTGAGGGTTGCCAGTGATTGGCTAGGGGTGGCCCCCTGATCTGCACAGCTTGAGGATGAGCTAACTGAATTGTCTGAATAATAAGGTGAACCCAATCATAATATGACATCAAGAACAAAACACAGTTAATTATCAACTTTAAAACACGCTGAATCAAAGTGTTTAGAAATGTCTGTTACAGAACATTTCTCCAAAAAATCTCATCCAAAAAGAACGTTTTCTATGGAGTGTTTTGTAAATGGAAATTTGAAAAGCATCATAAACAAGTTTTTTTTTTATGATGTAACTGTGCTGCTTTCTCTGATGTTAATTCAATGTTCTTTTAAAATGTTTTATTTCCTATTTCATGTTTTCAAATGTAACTTTTTCGAAAAAAAATTTTTTTTTTCAAGGTTTAATATGTTCACATTTCTGTTTCTCAGATCAAATTTTAAGAATTGAATTCTTTTCAAACAGCCCGCAGAAGTAAAGAAAATGTGATCTGAAAAATACAATTTGAAAGTAATTAATAAAACTAAATATGAAAATTAGAAATAAAAAAATCTAAACACAAAATCTATAAAAATGGTTTTGTCTATTTTAAGAAACAAATCTAAGAAAACAGCAAAGTTACCCCTTAAAAAACGTATTTTTATTTATATGTTTGAAACTTTCATTTCTAGATCTTTTTTTTTTTCATTTGCAACAATGATGGAAGTGAATTGACCTCATAGTTTAGTGTCTAGATTGGTATGAAATTTGTTCCAGGGATTAATCGTCTCCAGCAGATTAAGCTTTAACAACCATCCAAATAGTATAAACATAATCACCAGGCTTAATTTCCTATTAATAAAGCTTCGGTTAAATTTCCAACCTTAACACAGAGGTGAGGTCAAAAACATAAAATTTAAAGCGAAACCTTGATCTGACAGAGATCTTGTTTCTGTATTAGGTAAGAACTCCAGAGGGAGAAAATGTTGCATAATCTTTTACAAGAAGAGAATTCCCTTAAGGTGTTTCACTAGAAACCGAGGGTGTTCCTTTCACACTGCAGAAACGAGGCTCGATTCCACCTGTAATCTTATGCCAAACCTGCCTGCATTCTTCTTCTCTTCTCTTTTCACTAGAAGCTTTTTTTATTCCACCGAACAGGGAAACACCAGATGAGGCAGTCACATATTGCACTAACAGTCAATAAACCCACACATATATTTACTAATATGTTAAAATGTCAAATACATTTCCAAATGCTCAAAATGAATCATTATTCTCTTCTAAGTCAACAGCCCTAACAGGGAGGCAACAGGGTGCAAAATAAAAGACGACGATAGGTTGACTAAACTGTCAGCTGAACGAAGGGATCTAGAGGCGGCAAAAACAGAATCGAAACCCAAGATATGCGAGACAACAGCCTTTATACAGTGGAAAGGATGATTATGCATTTAAAGCTGGATAGAAAAGCCGCTCTCAGAGGTAAAAACTACGGTTTT